GGAGACGATTACTTCACACCGTAACGCTTGGAGGAGCACCACACGAGAAGGTGTCAATACTTTCGAGTTAGCCCGACTGCATAACGTGGCAGACAAGCGCCAACGCCGGAAAGACGCTGCCGCCACCCTTCCCGCACTAGATGTAACCCTCCACATGTGCAACATCTGTGATCGACCCTGCTGGTCCCGTATCGGCCTCTTTAGTCACCTCAGAACTCACCAATGAAGGTGACATCCTTCATAACTCATATCATTGTATCATAGCTGGATGATCGTCATACTAGATTCCGAGTGACAGCAAAGTAGTAGCAGTCGTGTGTGTGTGTGTGTGTGTGTGTGTGTGTGTGTGTGTGTGTGTGTGTGTGTGTGTGTGTGTGTGTGTGTGTGTGGTGGAAATAAAGGGATTTGTCACTTCTTTGAATAGTTTAAGCTTGTGGTATTAATGATTCCGTCTGTCACATCACCAGTATTGTTATTGTAGAATTTTTGCATAAATATATACAAACTCACCTGCACTCGCATACATACATACATACATACATACATACATACATACATACATACATACATACATACATACATACATATACATATACAGGTGGTGGAGACGGATGTGACAGGTGGTGGAGTGGGTTGTGACAGGTGGTGGAGTGGGTTGTGACAGGTGGTGGAGTGGGTTGTGACAGGTGGTGGAGTGGGTTGTGACAGGTGGTGGAGTGGGTTGTGACAGGTGGAGTGGGTTGTTACAGGTGGTGAAGTGGATTGTAACTGGTGGTGGAGTGGGTTGTGACAGGTGGTGGAGTGGGTTGTGATAGGTGGTGGAGTGGGTTGTGACAGGTGGTGGAGTGGGTTGTGACGGAGTGGTGGAGAGGACTATAATCTCCACACACACACACACACACACACACACGTAATGACTGAATCAACCGGGAGAGCCAATATGTTTATGATTATTACACACAGCTGGTGACGGCAACCACCTGGCTGGTTCTCAAACTCCCAGTTCGTAGGGCTACAACAGGTGGTGGGGCTATAACAGGTGGTGGGGCTACAACGGGTGGTGGGGCTACAACGGGTGGTGGGGCTACAACGGGTGGTGGGGCTACAACGGGTGGTTGCTAATGCTAATGATTTATAAATGCAATAGGTGTGTATACTCATAAATATATTAATTGACTAATGTGTTATATTATATTTTAAATCTATATTTCTTCACACACACACACACACACACACACACTAATGTAGTTTTTCCATCTTTGTTTTATTGTTATCACTTGTAATACTTAAATATACATCGTTATCTCGTGTACAGTATGTTTCTGTATACATCTAACATCATTTTATCGTCTTTTATCGTTATATGAATCAGGTTATTATTTCATACAACACAATGTATTTCTTGTTGCATATTTTATCTTAGTGTCAATACTCGAGGATAATAACAATAACATTATAACGACAACTCGATGATAACCGACGATAATTCGCAAAATATTGTCTTTCCCTTTTAATATAGTATAGATTTTACATTCATTCATATATATTAGTTAATATTTCTTTTATTTTAATTGTTATATCGTTAATTTTATAGTTATTAGACGATAGTGATAACAATAACAACTATAACGTGACTTAACCGACGACAATTCCCCCAAAGGATTGTCACCATACGATAATTGAAAATTTTTGTATTCTTTTATATCCTATTCTATTTGTCAATATAACTTAGTGTATATGCGTATATATATTTAGTGATAACAATAACAACTATAACGTGACTTAACCGACGACAATTCCCCCAAAGGATTGTCACCATACGATAATTGAAAATTTTTGTATTCTTTTATATCCTATTCTATTTGTCAATATAACTTAGTGTATATGCGTAGGTATATTTATTCTGAGTGTCAGGAATAACGTCACGAAGACCAATACTACGACAACTCAGGAGGAGGTGTTTACTGGCAACTGTTGTCAGGGTTGTCTAGGTACGATAATTCACCCATTTTCAATATCAGTATTTCACACGTCTCACCTTGGGAGGGTAATAACTAGGGGTGGGGGTAGATGGGGAGAGGACAAGATGATGATGGTAGGGGGGGAGGAGAAGAAGATGAGGGGAGAGGAATGTGAGGGAGGAGGAGGAAGAAGAGGGAGTGGAAGGGGGAGGGGAGAAATGGTGAGGGGAGAGAGTAAAGTGGATAGGAAAGTGAAGACCTGTAAACTATATCTCTCCCTCTCTCCTCTCCTCTCATCTCCCCCTATTCTCAGTAATGCTAATTTCTCCTTATACATTAATTAGTGTATTCTGTGTCCAATGTGCATATGTATGTATGTTTTATAATCATACGTAATTCATACACCACCGACCTGTTGTTCCTGGAATACACTTTCATACAGGAGCACTCATACACTATCATACATTGTCATACACTGTTAATTCTCCACCACACTCATCATACACACCATACGTATTCATACAAGAGCTGCCAAACACATTATACACTCATACACTGTCATACAAGAGGTACCACACATCATACACTGTCATACAAGAGGTACCACACATCATACACTGTCATACAAGAGGTACCACACATCATACACTGTCATACACCTTCCCAGAGGAGGCGACGTGAACTGGTTGGATCACCTACAGGGGAGACGTGGGAAATACACAGGTGGTACTACACCCCCTCTACACACACACACACACACAGGATAGTTGATGGATTCAATTCACGGAAATAGACTATTATTAGTAGTAGTATAGTAGTAGTAGTTGTTGTTGTTGTTAGCAGTAGTATCCTTCATCATTGATATCTGCTCTTATTATTATTATTATTATTATTATTATTATTATTATTATTATTATCGAGATCAAAAGTTGAGATGTATACCACTGAAAATATAAACTAAAGGATCCTGATGACTGTGAAGAAAATAACAATATATACCACAGGATCCTGGTGACTGTGAAGATAACACTATACACCGTAGGATCCTGATGACTGTGAGAATAACAAAAACATCCATACCATAGGATCCTGGTGACTGTGAAGAAAACAACACTATACAAAGTAGGATCCTTATGACTGTGAGAATAACATCATCCATATCATAGGATCCTCGTGACTGTGAAGTAACAACAATATACACCACAGGATCCTGGCGACTGTGAAGAAAACAATATACACCACAGGATCCTAGTAACTGTGAGGATAACATTCAGACCATAGGATCCTAGTGACTATGAAGAAAACAACAATATGCACCACTGGATCCTGATGACTGTGAAGAAAACACAAACCTATGGTGCAGCACACACACTTGTCCTAACTTAGCACAGTGACGTCACCAACCCTAGACACCATAACACTTCAAAAAATCTCACATGAAGCCGAAGCCAGACAGAATCATCATAGCTTCGTACGATAAAATATTTTCTCGTAATATAAATCACAAAATAAAGAAAAAAATAAATAACAAATAAATAAATACATAAATAAATAAATAACGTGACCTGAGTGATATTAATTAAGAATCTCAGGTGTGATTTTGACGTTCTGGTCAGTTTATGCGTGTTGTGGTACTTTCCTTTCACTTTCTATGTCTAATGGCACTTCCTGTCACTTTCTACCATTAACTTGCTCTATATACCTCCCTTCCCAAGAACACTTTTTGCCTTAGCACTTTCTTCAATGATAATATTACATGTTATTACAGTCATGGGAACAAGTCTCATTTTAGGTGTGTGTGTGTGTGTGTGTCCTTAGTATATAGTCAGGGTACAGTTACAGGTCCTCAGTATAGTCAGGGTACAGTTACAGGTCCTCAGTATAGTCAGGGTACAGTTACAGGTCCTCAGTATAGTCAGGGTACAGTTACAGGTCCTCAGTATAGTCAGGGTACAGTTACAGGTCCTCAGTATAGTCAGGGTACAGTTACAGGTCCTCAGTATAGACAGGGTACAGGTTCACAGGTACAGTTACAGGTCCTCAGTATAGTCACAGGGTACAGTTACAGGTCCTCAGTATAGGGTACAGTTACAGGTCCTCAGTATAGTCAGTTACAGGTCCTCAGTCAGGGTACAGTTACAGGTCCTCACAGTCAGGGTACAGTTACAGGTCCTCAGTATAGACAGGGTACAGTTACAGGTCCTCAGTATAGACAGGGTACAGTTACAGGTCCTCAGTGTACAGTTAGGGTACGGTTACAGGTTCTTAGTATACAGTCAGGGTACAATTACAAGTCCTCAGTGTACAGTCAGGGTACAGGTCGTCAGAATACCGTCACAGGTCGTCAGTATTACAGTCACACAGGCTGTATAACTCTAGGCAGGTCCGTCACGCTAAAGTGAACATTGACAATTTATTTAAGACATTCTCGTGTGTATATTTTAGCCATTGTAATTGTTAATGGATTCACTCGCCCCTCCCACCCCCCCTCCCCACCCCCACCTCCCCCCCCCCCTTAACGAGAAACTCCAGTGAGGGCTGTTTGATGCCTACACCCCGCAAGCTTCTACCCACCCCCACCCCTCCCCATCCCCACCCCACCTCCCCATCCCCACCTTCCCACCTCCCCCCCCCTTCCCACCCCACACACCCACAACTCCAGGTTATACATATGCAAATGACTGGTTTTAGAAACTTCGGCGCTGAAGGGAAACGGACGCGGGTTAACATACACACATACGTACATACACATACACACGTACATACAGACACATATATACATCATACACACACAGAGATCCAGTTGTCGGGGCAGCAAACACGTCCAAAATCTCACGAAGGACTGGGAGGAGTGCACGTGTTCGCAGGTGTCCATTCCCACGCACCCGCCAGCTCTTCCTCCTCCTCCCATCCTCCACCACCACCACCCTCCTCTCCCTGTACGACACGCTCTCCTTCCCCCTCCCCGGCACCAACACACAAACTCCACCCCGCTGCCACCCGCCACTCACTCCCTCGTTAGTGGTGGTGTAAAGCAGTCGTGTAGCGTCTCTCTCACTCTTGTTTTTACACACAAATTCTCCCCTCCCCCCCTCCCCTTGTGCTGCTAGGCCATACTCAACACATACTTTTGTGAGAGAGAGAGAGAGATAAAAACTCTACAAAATATTTATAACAAAAATCGAGGAATAAGTGACGTGGGAAGGTGGCCACTTTACCGTATATATCCATAAATGGTTGAAAATCTATGAAAGCAAGTGTTGTGAGTGTTGTGTTGGGGATGGCCATGGCCAGTGTGGCGGTGAGAAGACCCAGGATGATGTGTCCACACCACACAGCACCATGGCCCACCACCACGCCCTCCACCACGCCCACCAAGTGACGCTTCTCAAGAAACACAAACTGTTCTGCTTCACTCTGCCCGACCACGACATGGTGTCCGCTGGTAATACTGCCTCACTTAATGACCCTTGGTAATACTGCGTGTCTTAATGACCCTTGGTAATACTGCGTGTCTTAATGACCCTTGGTAGTACTGCGTGTCTTAATGACTCTTGGTAGTACTGCGTGTCTTAATGACCCTTGGTAATACTGCGTGTCTTAATGACCCTTGGTAGTACTGCGTGCCTTAATGACTCTTGGTAGTACTGCGTGTCTTAATGACCCTTGGTAGTACTGCGTGTCTTAATGACTCTTGGTAGTACTGCGTGTCTTAATGGCCCTTGGTAATACTGCGTGTCTTAATGGCTCTTGGTAGTACTGCGTGTCTTAATGGCCCTTGGTAATACTGCGTGTCTTAATGACCCTTGGTAGTACTGCGTGTCTTAATGGCCCTTGGTAATACTGCGTGTCTTAATGACCCTTGGTAGTACTGCGTGTCTTAATGGCCCTTGGTAATACTGAGTGTTTTAATGGCTCTTGGTAATACTGTGTTTCTCAGTGCATGTCGGTAAAGCTGTGTATTAGTTGACATTGACAGTGTCTCGTTGGGCGTGAGCAGCACTGTCTTGGTGTACAGGAATTGGTAATACTGTGTACCTTAGTGGGCCTTGGCACTGCCTCTCAAAGTTGATCTTGAGAAATACATGTACACATCCCTATGGAAATGTGTATAAATATGCCACGTGACTGTTGAAAATACCTGAAAAATTCCGCAAAATGAAGAGATGATTTTTGGCTTAGAAAGTGAATATAAATGTTGAAGATATTATTATTTATTTTTAGAATAGAAATTTGGGGGTTGTGTTAACCTGTTGGGTGTGACGTCATTAAGTCGTCTTAAGCACAACATGTGTGTTTAATGACGATTTCACAAGTTCTGCTTCTCTAGGAAAAAATATGAATAACTCAACTAAATACTTTATTATTATTATTATTATTATTATTATTAAAAACTCTCTCTCATATGTACACAAAACTACCCCACTTTGCACGCTACTTCCACTCCTTTTCGGTTTATTTTGAAGAGTTAAAAATTCGAAATAATTAGTATTATTCGAATCAGTTTAATAAAAAAAGGTATATCTTTGAAGCATTACTCGAGACACGCTTCATAATATGTGAGTCAATAGGGCAAATATTAATAATACTGATAATATAATATATACACACGGTAATATCAAAACAGAATGCCGTACTGCAAGATGACTATTTGAGAGCTTTATGGGTTCCAAGAGACCCCTGTACCAAGTCCATCAACATATTATTATGTTTCCTAACTTGTTGGATTAAATATATGACTGTTTGTTGATATTATGTGCCTGATTGTCCTGGATGATTTAATATAACTATGTATTTTAGTAATCTGTCGGTGTAATATCTGCAAGTCTGTCGAAGTCATCTGATGGAATGTTGAATTATAATGTAGATGGTGTCAAAGGCTATGACTCAGTGGTATAATGCAAAATATTGTCTATTATGAAGTTCCCTGGAAGTAAAGTGCAAAAAGGGTTAGTACGCTAGTATTTTTGTCTTTCACCCTGGCCGAGAAAAGGTCTTAATATAAAGAAACAAATTTTTTTCAGAAACTTTACACTTACGGTTATTTAAGTAATAGAGTACTTAAGTTGCATTAGTGGCAAACTGTGAGGTATTGTGTCACAGTTCGTTACATAACTCAAGAGTAATGGTGGCGTGGCGTAAAGATACGTGACACAGTCCAAAATGTGACAAGAGTTTAACTGGACAGTAAAATGACATAGTTTTGCAACAGCTAGTAACGTGACAATAACACAGTAACCTAATTTAGGAACATGACAGTAAGTAACGTGATAACCGGTAACTTAACAGTCAGTAACGTAGTTTTAGCATAAAAGACAGTCATTATCCTGACAGACAGTCAGCAACGTGACACAGACGGTCAGTAACGCGACACAGACAGTCAGTAACGTGACAGACAATTAGTAGCGTGACACAAACAGTCAGTAAGGTGACAGACAATTAGCAACGTGACAGTCAGCAACGTGACACAGACAGTCAGCAACGTGACAAGAGTTCGTCACCAGGCGCCTGTGACACTCAATAGCCTCATTACTAAAGTTGACCGTCACGCCTGACACAGTAAGGCTGAGGGTGGTGGCGCTGTGGTGGTGGGGCTCGACCTTATCGCGCCCGAGTGAAGCACTGTCCTCCCCCGACACGTAGATCATGGTGGTAGGAGGGATGCTGGTAGCTGCTTGTTAGGCGCCCCGGAGATGTTGATGATGGTGGTAGGGAGGGTGATGGTGGTTGTGGTAGTGCCTAGGGGGGGAGGTGTTTGTGTGGTGATGATGATGGTAGTGGGGGTAGTTGTGGTAGTATGGGTGGTGGTGGTGGTGGTTGTAGTAGGGGCTGCTTCTGGTAAGGGGATGATGGTCATTGTGGTAGAGGGAATGGTGGTAGTTCTGTGTTGATGATGGTGGTAGTTCTGTGTTGATGATGGTGGTAGTGTTGATTATAATGGTAGTAGAAGTATTGGTGATGTTGGTTATGTCGTGGTGGTGGTGACGATGGTAGTTGTTGGTGATTGTGGTTGTTTGGGTGAAGATAGCGATAATGACGATGGTGGTAGTTGATGGATGGTTGTATTTGTGTGATAGTGGTAGAATGGGTTGTGGTGATAGTTGTAGGATAATAACGATACTTTTTAAATGCTGATTGTGGTAGAGACGAATTGTGGTGATTGGGGTAGAGAGGAATGGTTGTGATTGTGGTAGAGAATAATGGTGGTGATCGTTGTAGAAAGGAATGGTGGTGATCGTTGTAGAAAGGAATGGTGGTGATTGTGGTAGAGAGTACTGGTGGTGATTGTGGTAAGAGAGTACTGGTAGTGATTGTGTTGCTGGGGTGACAGAGGCGATGGCGTTTGTGGGTTGGATGCTGATTGTGGTAGTAGTGCTTTTGGTTGTGTGATATATGGTTATATCATGGTTGTAGAAGGGTGATTGTGGTAGGAGGATGAGCAGTGGTCAATTTTGTGGTTGTAGCGGTGGTAATTGTTATGGTAGTGTGGTAGCAGATCAATGGAAAGAATGGTGGTGATAGTTGTTGTTGTGGTAGTGATACTGGTAGTAGTGATGGAAGTTTTGAGACAAGCGGTAGTGGTGGTAGTAGTAGTAGTACTAATGGTGATAGTAATGGTGGTAGTCGTAATTATTTCAGTAGTAGTAGTAATGAAAACCCATGGTGATGTTAATAGTTGAGGCTCTCTTGTTACCCATGGTAGTAATGAGAGAGAGAGAGAGAGTCTTTGTGTACGCTGACAAGTTATGGTATTGTTGTGTTTATAGTCAGGACGCTATTATTGGATGTTTACTGTATTTATAAAACACAAAATTACTGTTTATATTCTTATTTATTTATTTATTTTTATTTTTTGCTGTTAAGGGATGTCGTGGAATATGTAAATGTTTGGGAAAATGTTTATGGTATTGGTATTGGTTTGATGTTTTTGTTATGTTTCACATGGACGATGTTTTTGTTGTTGTCACATCAATGTTTTGTTTCGTATTTTTTTTAAGCATTTTTTTTTATACGGGACATAAGCCCACCTGTGGGATGTTGATGTTATGGTAGTGTTTAGTTTTGGTAGAATATGTTCTTTTCGTTTTTAAGATTCTGATTTTTCTTTACTGTTTTGGATATTTTCTTCTGAAAACAGTTTAAAGTTGTTATTTTTTTCTATATTTTCTGGAATTAGATTTTTCAATATACTGTAATGGCTTCAGCACTTAACAGCTTATTAGCCATTCGGGCACTGGTAGCCTATAGTACTCTAGTTTGTTATTACCCAGTGTTAGTACAGGAGGAAACTGGTGTATTTGATAATTTAAACCAATCTGTAAATAGGGGTGGTGACGTAGATGATTATACTGTAATACAAACTAAAAGAAGATATTGGAAGCATAATGTATTGTCTGATGGTAGACCCTGCTGCCATATGACATCAAAAATTGTGACGTATTTTTTATAATTTTTTATTAATTATTATTATTATTATTATTATTATTATTATTATTATTATTATTATTATTATTATTATATTTTCGCCCCCAGGCCCTGATGTGGGTCAGAGACCTGTGTCCGGGTGGGCTAATCCTGTAAAAAAAAATACCTGATATAACTTGACCTGAACTTAACCTGTGCACTTGATTATGTTATGATAGTAAATGGCGCCCCCCCCCCCCCTTGTTTTAGCAATATTTGGGTGAATATTTTCCATTAATGAAAACGTAACAAACAGACTAATATACACTCAGTACATTATTCTGTTTTTGTTTTCCAGGTTTGAGAGAGATGCCCAAGCTGGGTGAGAACAACAACAGTAACAATAACAACAACAACAATAACAACAGCAGCAGCAATGGCACCAGCAGCAGCAACAGTGTTACCAATGCCAGCACCAATGGCACTTCCGGCAGTGCAGGCAGTAATTCCAGTGACATCACCAGAATTCCAGGCCCACATTCCTACTCTCCAGTCCCGCCTCAGAAAACGTCTTGTGAGTACATGTAACACAATAAAGTAAATCTAAATGCTCGAAATTCATCAAACATAAACATTTGGTGAATTATAATTATTGAAATTATTGATTATGTTTGCTTCAGTTGCTAGATAGACACATATCTACCTTACTGACTTACCTGAAATTATAGAGTACTGGACTGGACACATGCAAAACATCACCATTATAATCATAGCATCACAAAGAACTGACGGGGTCTTAAAGAGGATTCAATGGTGATTTATGTAGTATTCTAGGAGGTGAGGAAGAAATATTAGATGAGGATGGGTGAAGTGATGGGGTCTGCAGAAGGTGGCACAGAAGGAGATATGTCAAGGTGATGAGGGACTACTTTAAAGTCTGATGCTTCGTTGGTCTGAAGTTTAGGTTAGGTTAACTTAGTTTAGACTAGGTGTGGTTAGTTTGGTTAGGTAAAGCTAGGTTAGGTTTGTTTAGATTAGATTAGTTTAGGTTAGTTTACATTAGGTGAGATTAAGTTAATTTAGATTAGGTTAGTTCAAGTTAGGTTAAATTAAGTTAGTTTAGGTTTGGTTAGGGTAGTTTAGGGTAGACATCTGGACCAACACACCACAATCATACTGACCTGAGGTAAAGGAATGTGGCTCTTAATATGGATGAAAGGTTGATAAAAATGACTTGTGGCAGTACAGGAGGGGGAGAGGCACACCACATAAGAGGTAGCATGAGTCAGAAACTTGAGTCGTTAGAGGATCAGTGAGTGTGTCAGTGGATCACTTCAGGGGTGTGACGAAACACCAGGCAATGGAGGCTGATTGTGCACAAGAGCAATGAAGTGAATGAAGATCGAAATCTCAATGACAAATCAACTTAGGCAAAGTGAATATCTGTTGTATTGAGGACATGGAGCAGTGTTGATGTTTCTTCTGCCCGACAAGTGTTCATTGATCATGTGATTATTTCAACAAATATTAAATAATGTACAGTAAACATCCTCCAATATTCACTAGTCATAAACATTTCATCTTTCACAAAATTTGGTAAATATTACAAGATACTTAAATATCATCTGCCCTCTCTGTCTCTTCAGATGCCAATGGGTCATACTCACCTCACAGCACCGTCAACGGTACACCCACGCCCTCACCACCTGCTCTGTCCTCACCACCCACACAAGCCCACGAGTCAGGCACAGGAGTTGGAGGCTCAAGGGATGCCCACAGACAGATCTCTAAGGTGGGTGGGTTTTTGCTTGTACAATATTACAAGTTCACTTATCCAAATACCTTTGTAATGTTGTTCTGCATAACCATATTGCCACACTTGATATCATTACAATTTAACCCTTAGTGCTCATCTGTATATCCAGAGGTCCTGCTTGGTCTCACCAATTTTGCCATAAATATCACTAAATAATCGATTTCTCGGAGCTGTTACTCCTTGTCTTGTGATTGGCTGGGTGCTCATGGTACAGGCCACACTCCTGCTGGTTTGAAAATTGATGTATTCAGTGTTCAGTACAGTGCTGTATACTGTATTAATTATTTTGGGTATGGTATATATTAAGCATGAGTAGTTTCAGCAAACAAGTGGGATGTCTGGGTATCTAAAATAATCATTAGTTAGAAACTCAAAACTATTCCCTTCAGATATGTAGACTTTTGTAATATTTTAAGGTACAGTACTCTAATTGTTAACACCTGTACAGTATGGCACAAGGTTGCTCACTCATACAACACTTTCAAGATTGTGGCTATATACTGTACAGGTATTTGTTAGTTTTTTCATGGGATGGTCACTTCTGTGGAAAGGGTTCAAGAATTTACCTTTACAGTTTTGTATCAGAATTGCTACTGTCCAGTGTATGGTATTTAAGCACTGTACGGTACAGGCATTCCCTGATGTATGAAAGGGTTCCATTCCTGTAAAACCTTTCATAAATGTGTTTTTTATTAATTGGATCACATTTGCCTACAGACTACCATTGCAATATCTGAGAGACAGGGGGTCCCCGACTTACGAGCGTATTATATTTTATTTACCTGGTGACTTATTTTTTACTTTCATTTACTGTATTTTGTTATTCTATTTCTTCTTTTGTCTTAAATTAAGTGATTTTAGATGTATATAAGGACTTAAGCTATGATACAGTGGGATTTTAAACATTGCTCTGTAAGTATGGTATGCACATAGCATGTGTTCCTCAGGAACGGAACCCAAACATCTGTAAAGCCTACAAAACATGTTCTAATGAAAATTTATTGTACAGAGTGTACACAACGATTATAAAGCCCAGCCAAGATATATGGTTTTAATTTTGTAGTCATGCAAATAAAGGAAACCTACTGTCCTGTACATGCACTATGATCTATACTGTACATTTTATCCTTTCCATTGACATCAGATCAAACACTGAGATCCTGTACTCAACACATCAGCATTCCCACAGTCAAAATATCTTGAGTCAGTGTCTTGACACTGCTTCACATAGTGGTCCTGTGAGCCATGATAACTAAAACACTACATGTACTGGTAGGTACAGTGGGGGGAGGGTTTTTTTTTCAGGGTTTGTTAAACTGGATCTTCATAAATCAGGGATTGCCTGTACTTCAGTGGCCAGGGTCTTTAACCCTGAATTAAATTGTCTGGCTTTATCCAAATAATAAATTAAAAGTGACATCCAATAGTGAAAGGGTTAAGCACTATGCACTTTTGAAGTCTTCGTTGCTCTGCTAGGTAACAACTTTAAATGATTAAGGAATGTGTAGTACAGTGCAGTACAGGTACAGTTAAAGGGATTCACCTGTGTGACTGGTTTACTGGAGCTGACCTTCATAGGTTTAGTTCAGGTGTGCTCACCTTTATGGTCTTGGCTGAGGGACACCTTCATGTATGACTAGTTCAGTAGACTTCCCATACAGTAGTTCAGGAGCGTATCATGTACAGGTGCTTGGCTGTGTGGTTATGAAGAATGTAGGAAAAAATGGCACAGTATATACCCAGCAGTCTACAAGTCTACTGCCCTTGAGAAACATTAATATAGCTCGTGGCATATTTTCCTTGATTGAGACACTCCAGTTCAGGAATATAAATAAATATTCTTGTTAAAACTCAGAGCTGCGCTACTTAAAAGATTACCTAGTCTATTTTGAATAACAAAACATTTATATATAGTAAGCACAACAATTCATGGATGGGTTTGACCTAATAAAGTTGAAGCCAAATGTTCAGCCAACTTAAATTTTCTATATATATACGTATATATATATATATATATATATATATATATATATATATATATATATATATATATATATATATATATATATATATATATATATATATATATATATATATATATATATATATATATATATATATACAGTATTAATATTTTTTTTTTTTTTTTAAGAATTAGCTAAATCACTGTTGAATGAATGAATCCTTCACTTTATTACACAGGTTTTTCTCTTGATGGATGTTGTCCATTTTTTGTTATTTGCATTATTCTTGTAAGAAAAGCTCAACCAAGAAAAGCTATTATCTTGTGTATGTCTGATTGTGCCCCTCATGGCAGTATACAGTTTGCTGAAAAAAAAAGTAAAGAAAAACGAATCATTTGCTTATACCTGTGTACAGTAATAAACAAACATGTCATTATGTTTCATCCACCACTGTTTGTTTACCATTAGCAGACGAGTGCATGACGTCATGACAATAAATCCAATAGCTGTACTGAACTGATATCCATTACAGTTTCCACATAGGTTGGATGGATATTTGAAGCTGACCTGGAAATGAGAATTTTAGTTTACCATCAACATATATGTGTGTGTTGTATTAATTTATAAGATTATTCAAGTACCCATCATTAATTACTGGGTATTGTGCATTTGTATTGAAATTCACCTTCCACGCGCGAGAGCCAAGTTCGACCCCAGCTTGGATTTATATAAGTGTATAACCTCTTCAGAGTATCGGTCCATTTTTCTCTTACCTAAGGTGTGGGAAACTTTTATTACCGTAGATTATAAGGACCCAATATTCCCGATACCATTCTCTTTCTCTCTTGGATATTTGGACGAGTTTGATGCAAATTTCTCGTCGTTCCTAAGGAGATAATGTACAAGTTTCATAAATTTTAATACACACAGGAAAATTTTTGTTCACTTTGTAGATTTTTTTTTTATAAGATAAATAATGTGACTAAAGGAGAGGATAATGTGGTGTGTTGTAGGTGAGGAGGTTCCTGACGACGCTACACCAGTTTGCTGTTGACATCTCTCATGACGTGGGTGACCGTGTGAGACACCTTGTACTTGGCCTCTTGGTGAGTCCCTCTTACTTCCTGCTTCTCGTCCCCCCCCCTCTCTCTCTCTCCATAGATTCCTCCTAACACATCACACACTTCCCCTTCTCTCCATAGATTCCTCCCAGCACATCACACACTTCCCCTTCTCTCCATAGATTCCTCCCAGCACATCACACACTTCCTCCTCTCTGCACATCACACTCTTCCCCTTTTCCCCATAGATTCCTCCCAGCACATCACACACTTCCCCTTCTCCCCATACTGTAGATTCCTGCCTGCACATCACACACTTCCCACAACCCATCAACATAAGTATAATTCTGTACTAATAAACAAAATATATTCAGAATCATTTACTGGTGAAGAAAGACTTCCATGAATGTTACAGAAAGCTTTTAAAAATCTTGGATACATCAGATACAGTACTGTAGTCTTATTTAACATCCCATCATCATTATTTATTTGTCAATTTCGTTTTCAGAGGAGATTTTAAAGAGATAATTATGATAACCTGTAAAACTGTCATTAGATATTTGCTTTTCCCTTTTTTACACAAACATTATAATTATCTAGCTGGTGAAAAGGCAAATGGTATTGTAATTAATATCAATCAACTGTTTTTGCATTACCTTGTACAGTATTACACTTGTACTCATAGTAAATATTATAAGTTTCCATCAATGAGAAGATAACACAAAGTCTTTTTTTTTAATTCAAGAACTCTAAGTGATTATACTGTACTGTACTGTACTATATTTCGGGGCACTGACATGATCACACTTCATTCCCACTGATTTTGGGGAATCATTTTATTGTGCTTCGTAAAATATAGTAATCATATAGGGTTTTCAAATAAGAATATGACCATGGCAAGTTTAAATTTGTATACATTACTCGTATATTAAAAGCTGAATGTCTTTATTTATCACAGAGTGGTGGTGTGAGTGTGGAGGAGTTCCATGGAGGACTGCAGGAGGTAACACATTTTCCTCTCCGCCCGTTTGTGCTGCCCTTCCTCCGCTCCCATCTACCTCTTCTTCAACGTGAACTGCAGAGTCTCGCTCGCCGTGCTGCTATGGTCAGTCACAGGGAAGGGGAGAAGGGCAATCTAGCTAGAATGTTAGTTTGTGAAGTTAAAGGAAATTAATTGATGTCTAATTGTTTTCATCACATATTACGAGGTTTAGAAATGCATATTAAACCCTCAACTGTTTTTTGTTAAATGTGCACTACAGTACTTTATTCCTACGTACATGAGCTCTTCCATGATACACTGGGTGGGTAAGCTCTAACAACACAATTATGTACAGTATAAGCATAAAGAGTTTGTTTTATTAATACACTGTATTGGCATTAGTCTGTATGTTACATTCCTCCTGCAGTGATTTAAAGGCAGGTAACATAAGGCAACATTAAACCAGAAGTGATTGAGTGGTGAACTTGGGAATACAGAATAGCTTTTGTGTTTTAGAGATGAATGGTGCTATTGACTGTAATGTGTCTACTTGTTAGTGTTTGCTTGATAATTTTGACTAATTTCCGTGGTGAAGTTCCTCCAAATATACCTGACAGTTTTAACTGACTGTATGGTGGCCCTAACCAAACATATGGAATACTGTACTTATATAAGAAACACTAAAGCATGGGCATTACCCTTAAACTCCTGGACTGCTCCATGTGAAGAGGCTGGCAGCACCACTTTCAGTGTAAGGCAAGAAGGGCCTCTTGTCTGTCAGATGACACAGCAGAAATTCAAAGGGCAGGAGTATGAGCTTCCTTGTATTGTCAATTATATTTAGATTGTATGAATTCACGTGGGTTTTAACCCCTAACATCGGGCTTCACTGGTCCTAAATCAACCAATAAATCCAAGATAATTGAAGAATTGACTGTGGTTCTGGATGTTGTGTCCTGTTGCTAGACATGTGAAGGTCAACTGGCAAAAGGTGGGCTGTGCCAGACAGTTCTTTAGTGGCTTGGTTGTCACAGGTCATGTGTTGATAACCTGCAGATCATATCTAATAAATATTTCCTAATGACAATTCCTTGCAAACCTTGAGAGTCTTACTGTTGTTTTGTACAGTATGGTACTGTACTGTTTATCTTTTATTTCTGTACATTGACAGTCTGAAGATATTCTTTCCTCTTTATTGTTTCCATAATCTTCAAGTCTATCAATAAAAGTCATTATTACAGACATTATGGAACTTTGTTTTCCCTTGCAGCCAGTGTCACAATATGTGGCTGTTCATGAGGCAGCATTGTTGGAAGCAACTGCAGGAGAACCTACTGATTTCTTCTCCTCTGAGGTCACTAGTAGCAAACGGCGACATGAAGGGTGAGTGTTTGTAATGAAGTAAAATTAAGTAACTATGTCAATAGGCAAGTTCATCAAGCATATGATGGCATGAAACCTTTTCTCCTGCCACCTTACTCAGTCAATAATATAAGACCTTTTCTTTAGTTATCATCCTCAGTTAGTAATATAAAACCTTTTCTCTTGTTATCATCCTCAGTCAATGATATAAGACCTTTTCTCTTGCTATCATCATCAGTCAATAGTACTGAATAGTAATGAATATTTCCAGGTATTTTGAGAATGGTGACAGTGGAGGAGGTAGTGGAGGGGGAGTGTCTCCACCACCCACAAAGAGACTGGGAATTTTCTCCCCTCCATATCCAAGTGTGGGCATGAGTCCTGACCCTCCCCTACACCCGCGTGACTACCGCACCCCGGCCCCTCCAGACGATGAGTGGAAGAACATCCACGTGGTGAGTATAGTTACCACATACATGTATATTGAATCATGAGACTGTGTCAAGGATGGTCTGCTCCATTTTGTTTTCTCCACTGATGTGTCAGTGAGACACTTCCTCCTCCATTCATACTTCCACTTTCATACAAAATTCATCTCCAGAGTCTTACCTGATATATTCCTTAATTTTAGTACATATTTCATCTATCTCCTATTCAGTCCACTTTTTTCCTTATATCTTACCTTCATCTGTATTGTTGTAGTTCTTTACTTCCTTTGTTGTATGTCATATATTCCACATATCTCTAACATTAGATGTGTCACTCTAAACACTTAACCTCACATATGTTTCTCTCTATTCTTTCTCCACCATTCTACATACGGTATTAAAGATTTGAAATGTACAGTACGTATTGTAAATTTACTGATTTTTTATATACCTGTACTGTACATTATTAATTCTTCTTAAAAAATTTAATATTACAGCACCTTATTACTTACTAATATTTTCATGCTTTATTATGGTGCTTATTGACATTTTTAAACATACAGTATTGTATTTACACATTGAATTTTGCCTTTCAGATGCTAACATGTATCTTGAGTATGGTGGAGAAGACTCGTCGAGCACTGACAATGCTGCAGCAGAAGGAGGATCGTGATGGTAGTAGCGGAGTGTCCCGAGTAAGTGGTATGAGCGCTGCAGATCTTCGGCATCGGGCTGATTATGATGCAGATGTGAGACGTCATGCTGCTGAACTTGTGGCTCAATCTATCCGCACTACAGAGGAGAGGGTGTCAGAGGTCAAGCGCAAGGCTGGTGAGTTATCTTGATGAAATTTATGCACAGTAATAGATTTTTTTATTATATCTTTGAGTAGATGCTTGTTTTCCTACATGATTTTTGGCTGAATTCAGTACTGTACAGTATTGGAGATCAGAATTTGAAAGTTCAAATTGGTTGATACAAGTTACAGTGTTACTGTACACTGATCAAATATTTCACAGTGACTAAAACAGAGCAAAATCTGAATGATAATGTTTTACTCTTACCAATAATGGCAAAGTATTACAGCGATCACAAGGTTAGGCAATGATTAATAATGATAATATTTGAAACATGAGCGTGGGCGGACGTGATAACATTTAAACAAAGTGCAGGACTGTAGTTTGTAAGGTGGCCGTGAGGTGGCATGCGGGTAGGTGAGCTGCGCGGAGGATAAAAAAAACAGTGAAGTAGTTTCTGTGCATATCGGCTATTATGGATTTGACAAGTGAAGAGAAAGATGCACTTCCCCAGTGTTTACATTCTGCACCAACAAGTTAGCCTAACTATAACTATCACTAAAATGGATTCTGCTTAATGTAAATAGTAAGAGGGTGTTAAAACCACATGAACATTAATGCAGATTATCATAAAATGGATGACCGTAAATAGGGGGTCACCGGTATTAGCAACTGAGAATTAGTCAAATAAAAATGCATAAATATTCAATGATGATGAGAAAAAATAGAAAAATTATATTTACCAGTAGATTTACGGTACTTTTTTCACAAGTGAGTCGTTCAGAATGATATTGTCTGATACTTTTAGTTATACTTACCGGAACAGTACTTCAAAATAATACAGTTGTCTTCTGTTTACTCACCAGAGGAGGCAGTGTCAGAAGTGAGGCGAGCAGCCGTAGCAGAGGTGCAGCGAGCTGTTGGGGCAGCTGAGGCGCGAGCACAGGAGTTGGTGGCAGCGGAGAGGGCCAAGGTTGAAGCTCTACTACGGGAGGTCGGGCGGAGAGACCCCTCAGAGCCCCGGGCTGAGCCTCAACAGGTACCTAAGATACTTGCTGTTGTAGGGTGATACATTCACCTCAACAACAATATGTAGGGGTAATAGGTTTTATAGCTGTTTCTGTAGGAGAGAAGAGTATATTGACACACTGGGGCTGGAGGTATTAAAACACTTGCTGTATAAAGGATTACATTCATGACTTTTAAGCACTATAATGGATCTAGCCATGAACACAAATATTTTCTGTTAGAGGGATTGTATTGATCTCAATACTTCCTAAAATACTTTTCATGGGAGGATATGTAAATATAACTACACTGCAGAAAAAGTGACAGACAGCACAAACACTTCTGATAAGGGAATTTATCTTGAAGTAGCACTCTGTAAACCCAGTAACAAATTAAGCAAGATGTGAGTAGAGAGAAACAGATAATTTGTTTTGTCTTCTGTGATAGATGAACTCACCATAAGACAACAAACACTGAAAACTTTTATATATATATATATATATATATATATATATATATATATATATATATATATATATATATATATATATATATATATATATATATATATATATATATATATATATATATATATATATATATATATATATATATATATATATATATATATATATATATATATATATATATCTTTTAACTATACTTTATTAATTATAACTACCAAATTCAGAGACTTTTTATATTATGTAATGCTTAACCCACCGTGTATGGTCACTTAACTCCCTGAGTACAATGTCACTGTATTTAATGATGAAGACATTGTACTCAAGGGATTAAGTCACAAAATTCAAAGGGCTACATCATCATGCTCAAAGAAATAGATCATCATATTGAAACCTCATATTCAAAGTATTCATTCATGTCCTTAAGTGGCTAGATAATTGTACTCGAGGGGTTAAGATATCAACCTCATTGTTCCTGTTTAAATTTGATGATTCACCTAATATGGTGTTTCAGCACTGACAGGACCTATTTAATTTATGTCACAATTATGGCATTAGTAAAGTCTGTATTATTGTACAAATAATATGTAACGGGGCAATATTGGAATTTCCCAAATGTAGTACATCAGGCATTTGCTTGTTTATTGAAATGTTAGGAGAGTCGTAACCGAGGCATTGATCAACAAAATAGTATCGAACACATGACTTATAATATACAAGATGTCATCCAGCTTGCAGGAAATTAACTGAATACTGTATGATGCAGTACAGTACAGTAGTACAGTACACTGTATTGAATTTTTGGCTTAACTAATTACAGTATAGGAGCAAAAAGTTCTTGACTAAGTAATTTTGGACTTAAGAAGAACAACTTCTCTGAGTCATTGTCAAGATGTTCTTTAGCATGATGGATAATTTTTTAATAAAAATATAGTGGAGTTGGGCTTTATTAATTTTCTGTGAAAGAGGAGTCATTGTGTCGCAGCGAGAACACCTATGTAGTACCTGTACAGCACCTGATGTGTTGCTCCAGTAACTAATGGCTATGGAGAACAACAGGTTGATAGACTTGATTTACAAAAAGAGGTTGATAGCGCCTTCATATTTGCCAAGTAAAACGTATTCAATGTAGGTTCATTTGTAGTTTTCCACGAAGGCTCCAGACATGTGATTTAGAAAAAAGCTTCTATGAATGAGCAAAAGAACATCGTATATTGTGTAGGTAAATTTTTTTTTTTTTTAAGCTGGAAAAAGTAATTTTAGATGACAGTTTCTCTCACAGCACACAGTTAAAGTCATAAAGGTAGCCCAAAACTTTGCTCAGTGTCATGGCTGTGTTCAGGTCTTGTTAAAGGACATTATCTGTATTTATATTAACTCGAACTCATGTAGATCAGATGAACAAATGGCATTGACTTCAATAGCTCAGATTACCACTGGAAGTTATATTTATAAATTATAAGCAAAGTAATATTTTGGAGCCAAGTAAATATTGTTAAACACTACAAAACAACAAAACTTGCCAGAAAATCAAGAGGTTGCCGTACTAGCCCCGGCCCCTCCCCTACACGCGCTCCTGACTGTGGCTCTCCTCCAGGCGTGCTGGAACTGTGGCAGAAAGGCCCACGAGACCTGCAGTGGTTGCAACGTGGCACGGTACTGTGGCCCCTTCTGCCAGCACAAGGACTGGGACTCCCACCACAAGGTGTGCTCGCCTGCCCTGGCGTCCACGTCCTCCTCGTCTTCGTCTTCTGCGTCCTCTTCCTCCGCGTCCTCGTCCACTGCCATCATCGCCGCCCTCGTTTCTAAAAGTCAATTCAGCAAAACTTCTGACACAACAAAGACAGAGTGACCAAAGGTTAAAGGATCTCTGAAACGGAAATGCCGGAGTAAGACAAAAATAATCGGCATCTTTCATAAAGATTAAACCTTAATTTTTGTTAAACTACAGTCAAGTGCAGTGATTATTTCTGACTGTTATTTGATCAATATTTGTAAAATTTTCACATTTCAGTGGATATATCAGTGCAAAGATTGACCAAAGTTTTTTAAGTTTATCATGCAAGATATTTTAGTGTTTCAACAAGACAGAAGACTATAAAAACTTATAACAAACTGGATGATACAAAAACTGGAGGAGAAATATCACAGCCAATGATGTAAATATTGTTGGCTGCAAAAACCAAATGACATAGTGACTGCTCAGAGCTTTACAGATACAGTACTAAGTGTGACTGATTGGAAATGTTGGTTTTGATATGATCTTCAAAGTAGTGTATGAAAATCCTTCATTTTATATATCAAAGACTTAACAGGACCTTTGATATTAACTTTCTGTACCTCACTTGACGTAGACTGGTACAGCCTATGCATGTCAAGATGGGAACAGTGGCTGGGTGTTGTGTCGAGGCTGTTGTTAAGAACACAGTGGCGGGAAATACCAAACTCTTGGATGCAAAACATTACCTGGAATTTGAGAATAAAGAGAAATGACTAACAAAACTGCCACAGTGTATACAACGATATCTGGTTCATCACAAGAGATCATTATCATCAATATTCTTGTTACTTGGATCACTCATGTCCTTCAGTATGTTGATGCTGGAATTAATATATTGAAATTCATGGTAAATAAAATTTATTTATATTTGTTGTTCTTTTATGAATACAGTAATCACTTTGATCATTTGCAGGGAGAAGTCAGTGAATCTTTTTGTGTATTATGTTTTAGATGTGTTTTTGAGTTAACAACTTCTGAATACTGTAGTGTACTGTACTGTACTGCACTGTACTGTACTGTACTCTACTGTACTGTGCTGTATTGTAGTGTGCTGTGCTGTACTCTATTGTACTGTACTGTGCTGTGCTGTACTATATTGTACTGTGCTGTACTATATTGTACTGTGCTGTACTATATTGTACTGTGCTGTACTATATTGTACTGTGCTGTACTGTACTGTACTCTATTGTACTGTACTCTATTGTACTGTGCTGTACTGTACTGTATTGTGCTGTACTCTATTGTACTGTGCTGTACTGTACTCTGTTATACTGTGCTGTGCTATACTGTACTCTATTGTACTGTACTGTACTAGTAAATTTTATCATTTTCGTAATTTAGTGAGAGAGATGAATCAGGAACACCTGTGTACTGATGAATCAGGAACACCTGTGTACTGATGAATCAGGGAACACCTGTGTACTGGTGAATTAGGGAACACCTGTGTACTGGTGAATTAGGGAACACCTGTGTACAGTACTGATGAATCCTCAGTAAGACTGATATTGTATACTGTCACCATGAAGTATTGTTGTGTGATGGTGAATGGTCAGCAAGTGAGGAGATAAGAATAAGTGAAAGTGTTGCCATGTTGGTTCATACAACACTGCTGTTGAGCCGAGATAAATACTGGTTACAAGGGTGATGACTGTCAGTAAAGATTCTTCTGAGTGAATCAGATGAATAAATAACAACTAGGACCATCCATCCATCCATTCTGTGATGTAGGCACAGTACCAATCTCTTCCTCTTTTATTCTTTTGGCAATGAAGGACAATTCTGCACAGCCTGTACACAGTGTCAATTCAGCTCAGGACCAGCAGATGACTATGGCCAGCTGATATGTTTTTACAGTTAAGTCGAGCAGAATGTGTTTAATGAAGTTCCTTCCCATGAGAAAAGGACTTGGTTAGGGATTAAACCCAGCACCTTAGACTCAAATATTGGTCCTTTGCTTAACCACCCTGCTATGATATCACCCTTATGATTAGAATTTATCTGAGTTCACCAGAAGAGTTATTGCTGATGATTGTGAAGAAATTATCACCAAAAAATAAGAGAGTTTCCTCTCAGAACTGGATTGTTGATGACATTACTGTGAAAAATAAAACTGCAACTTGTCAGTAATAAAGTGCCCACACAACACTTGCACATGTGTGTTGTCACACTGATCATATGACGGGTCAGTATACTACATACTATATATATAATAATCAGTACAAATATTGAGCCAGAAGATAGAGACATCATACAGTAATGTGCATCACGGACCTGTAAACCAAAGATTTAGGAATAGACAAATTCCAGCAACGACCTAAAGCTCCACCCTGCAGGTGGTGACCACATATTGACCCTAATAAAGCTGGCAATAAGGATTTCAGTTGCATGGTAGAGTAACTTTATTAGAATAATTTTTTGTGTCTAGTCACAATGTGAATGTTAATCATGATACATAGATTTTCAGTGTTTTGAACATTTGGAAACTGTAATAGATTTTTGATACCTTTAAATGTTGTTAAACAGTGAAAACTCCGTAAAGGTTAAACTTACTGAAGAATTCAGATGTAATTACTATTGTACTTTATTTAATTGCTGGAATTTTCTTAATATGTTTTTTGATAATGTGAAATATTGTAGGATGTTACTTCAGTAAGTTCTGACTTGGCCATTGTCTCACAGAATCCAAAGCCCCGCCCTCACCCATCAATTTTCATGCTTTGGTTGGTAGTCAACTTCCATTTCAACAAGGAACCTCATGTCACTGCTATGATAATGCTCTCTCATTTATTGCTGTAATTAGTAAGTAAGCCATATACTCATATGTCAAGATAATATTATTTTCACTCCATGAGATTAATGGAGATTCAAACATCGTGCATTACATCTGAGATTATCTATCTTAGTAGCTGACTCAGTGATGGTCCCACACCAAGATCCTTATGAGGTATATATACCTATACATGGATATCTAATATACATAAGATGAAGAAAATGATTGCCAAATTAATTGTTGATGACTGTATATATGTTACTATTTATTTACAGGGGAAAATTAACCCAGAATGCTCTAAATGTTTTTCATAAATGTACTTTTTGTTTTTCATGCCATCAAGGGGTAGATATTTTGCCATTACCAGTGATGGGAATTCTGACATAGGAGAACTTGTGATGGAAAACTGGAATGGGGTGCAAGAAGGAAGGAAAACAAGAAAGAAGATTTTAAGAATGAAATTGATGGCTTCCAAGACTTACTTTTCAACTCTTGGCAGAACATTTACCCCATGCCCTCTCATACACCACTTCTAACCTTATTCAGAAATGAAAATAATTTGAACTCTTTGTATAGTGACACTCCTTATACACTCACAGACACATGAACACTTACACTGTTGAATTATGTGTATTGTATACCAGTGTCCTTGTTTTGTAAATAGACCAAGTTTTATCACTCAATCTCTTATTATCCTTATCTGGACACTCATATCTTAACAATTACAGTACAGTATATGTATATATATTGTTTTGCCTCAGTCACCTAGTTTAGTAGGGTTTTATTAAGGTGAGAAGCAGCTCGGCAGGATGAGAGGCAACCAGGGAGGATGAGAGGCAGCCAGGGAGGATGAGAGGCAGCCAGGGATGGTGAAAGGCAGCCATAGAGGGTGAAAGGCAGCCAGGGAGGGTGAGAGGCAGCACGGAAGGGTGAGAAGCAGTTAGAGAGGGTGAGAGGATGCCAGGGAAGGTAAGATACAGCCAAGGAGGTTGAGAGGCAGCCAGGAAGGGTGAGAGGCATAAACTGGAAGGGTATGGGATTGGGGGAAGTGTCCAAGCGTGGATCGGGGTCTTTCTTCATGATTGCAAGCAGCGTGTGGTGATAAATGGCACAAAACTTGTGTACCCATGCCAAGCAGGGTACCACAGAGCCATGTACTGGGCCTGTTGTTTGTTTGTATGTTTGCTTCATAAATAATATGCCAAAAGTTATACACTCCACGTACAAATGTTTGCAGACGATGCCAAGCTATTCAGGGAAATTAAGAACCAAACAGATTGTGAAGAGCTGCAGAAGGATTTCTGTGAGCTTCAAGAATGGTTGAAGAAATGGCTGCTAAGATTCAACAGCATGAAGTGTAAGAGGCTGCACCTGGGATGTACCAACAGTAAGGAGGCTCATCACACATTCCAACAGGTCGAAGAAACTACATTAAAAGAGACCAAATGTGAAAAGGACCTGCGTGTGTATGTTGGCATTAAACTAAAGTTTTTGGACCATTGTGAAAAGGTGAATCAAGCAACTAAATTAGTAGGTCTTATTTTTTGCTTTTACCCTCTTCACCACTGATCGGCTCTTTCGCCGCTTGGGCAGTCAGTCACGTCTCTGCTACACCTCCTCCCTCACCTCCGACCCTCTCCTACACGTCCTCCCTCACCTCCGACCTTCTCTGTCACGTCCTCCCTCACCTCCGACCTTCTCCGTCACGTCCTCCCTCACCTCCGACCCTCTCCTACACGTCCTCCCTCACCTCCGACCCTCTCCTACACGTCCTCCCTCACCTCCCGACCTTCTCATCCCGTCCTCCCTCACCTCCGACCCTCTCTACACGTCCTCCCTCACCTCTGACCCTCTCCTACACGTCCTCCCTCACCTCCGACCCTCTCCTACACCTCCTCCCTCACCTCCGACCCTCTCCTACACCTCCTCCCTCACCTCCGACCCTCTCTACACCTCCTCCTCACCTCCGACCTCTCCCGTCTCCCTCACCTCCGACCCTCTCTACACCTCCTCCCTCACCTCCGACCCTCTCCTTCACGTCCTCCCTCACCTCCGACCTCTCTACACCTCCCCCTCACCTCCGACCCTCTCCTACACCTCCTCCCTCACCTCGGACCTCTCCTACACCTCCTCCCTCCTCGGACCCTCTCCTACACCTCCTCCCTCACCTCGAGCCCTCTCCTACACCTCCTCCTCACCTCGACCCTCTCCACGTCCTCCCTCACCTCGGACCCTCTCCTACACCTCCTCCCTCACTTCGGACCCTCTCCTCACCCCCCTCCCTCACCTCGGACCCTCTCCTACACCTCCTCCACCTCCGACCCTCTCCTACACCTCCTCCCTCACCTCCGACCCTCTCCTACACGTCCTCCACCTCGGACCCTCTCCTTCACGTCCTCCCTCACCTCCGACCTCTCCTACACGTCCTCCCTCTCCTCCGACCTCTCTACACCTCCTCCCTCCCTCGACCCTGTCCTACACCTCCTCCCTCACCTCCGACCCTCTCCTACACCCCTCCTCCCTCACCTCCGACCTCTCCTACACCTCCTCCCTCACCTCGGACCCTCTCCTACACCTCCTCCCTCACCTCGGACCCTCTCTCACCTCCTCCCTCACCTCGGACCCTCTCCCTCACCTCCCTCCCTCACCTCCGACCCTCTCCTACACCCCTCCCTCACCTCGGACCCTCTCCTACACCTCCTCCCTCACCTCCGACCCTCTCCTACACGTCCTCCACCTCGGACCCTCTCCCTCACCTCCTCCCTCACCTCGGACCCTCTCCTACACCTCCTCCCTCACCTCGGACCTCTCTACACCTCCTCCCTCACCTCCGGACCCTCTCCTACCTCCTCCTCACCTCCGACCCTCTACCACACGTCCTCCCTCAC